AGAAAGTAAAAAGACAACTCACAGAATGGGAGGAAATATTTGCAACTCATTTTTTTTTTTTGAGAGAGAGAAAAAAAATTTTGATATTTATTTTTTAGTTTTCGGTGGACACAACATCTTTATTTTATTTTTATGTGATGCTGAGGATCGAATCCAGCGCCCTGCGCATGCCAGGCGAGCGTGCTACCGCTTGAGCCACATCCCCAGCCCGCAAATCATTCTTTTAACCAGGGACTTATACTGAGAATATATAAAATACTCTAAAACCCAATAAATAACCCAATTGTAAAATGAGCAGAGTGAGTGGCTGGTAAGATAGAAGCTGGAAATAGACCTCAGTGACAGAATGCCTGTGCTCTACTACTAAGCAACAATCCCAGCCCTGAATCAAGCCAGCCTCAGCAAAAGCAAGATGCTAAGTAACTCAGTGAGATCCTGTTTTTAAATAAAATACAAAATAAGGCTAGGGATGTGACTCAGTGGTTGAGTGCCTCTGAGTTCAATCCCAGGTACAACCCCCCCCACACACACATATTATATATTTTAGGTATATAATGATCTCACGGATATACTTTTTTTCCTTTTTCTTTTTGGCAGTACTAGGGATTAAACACAGGGGTACTTTACCACTGAGCTACGTCCCAGGTCCTTTTTATTTAATTTTAAGACAGGTTCTCATTAAGTTGCCAAGGTTGGCCTTAACTTGCAATCCTTCTGCCTCAGCCTCCTGAGTCACTAGGATTACAGGAATGTGTAATCCACATGGCTGATGAGGATTACACATGTGTAATCACCACTCATGGCTAAATACACATTTGTTTGTTTGTTTTTCCCCAGAATTGTTCCTCTCCATAGAAATCTTTAGTAAAAGGCAAAAGACTCATATGGTCTTAAAAGAAACCAGAGTACAAATATGTTTTTTAAATAGACATTATCTACTTGTCATAACCAAAAGATAACAATACAATCTGGTAGCCTGGATGGTATTCTGAAACAAAAGGACTTTAGGTAAAAAAGAAATCTGAATACGAATTAACTAATAATTTATTAATAATGGCTTATTAATTATGACAAACATAATTGTGACTAGTATAAGATGTAAATAGTGGAAGAAATTAGGCAAGGAGTTGTATGGAATTTCCATAATTTTTCTTTTTAATCTTTGTAATTTTTCTATAAATATACACATATTCTAAAATAAGATTTTGAAAAAATAATAATCTTTAAGAGAAACAAAGTATTTGCATATGATATGTGGGATTTGCTCCAAAATAATAAGGACAAAACATAAAATCTGATTTATGCATTTATATATGTTATTCTTCAACAAAGTAAACTTTAACAGAAAATACTAACAGGTAATGAGGAAGCGGACACATAATGTGGACAGAGCAGGAGTGGTCATGGGCTGAATGAAGGTTGCTGGGGTTAGAGGGTTTATTGCACTATTCACATACTAAACAAATGGGTATAAGAAGGAAAGCCCAGAGTAAGACTGATTTGCAAACATTCAGGAGAGTTGCTAGAGGGAGCTGTGTAGCCAGGGCAAAGAAGGGAGGCCTTTCAGTGGAGGACTGTGTGCCTCTAAGACAAGGATAAACCACTTCTCATGAGAAGCCAAGGAGACTCTGGTCACAAATCCCCAGGAAAGGAGTCCTGACTTTTTTCACAAGCGTCCATGAAATAATCTTTTCTGAACAGGCTTAATATCTCATCAGCAAATATTTTAGTTTACTAGTAGGCAATAAAATAACAAAAGGAAAGATAGTTCTTGCCCTGGAGAACCTAGTAATTGAGTAGAGAAAAAATTAACAACAAAGGCTACCCAGGGGCCACCTAGAGTGTCATTCACAAATATATCTTGAGTAGTGACTCCTTTACAGGACTAAGAGGTCTAGATACACTACATCTTAAGAGACGACTGAAGGAAAAAGTAATATCTATTGAGTGTTTACTGTGTGTCAGGCATTGTCTCAAATATTGTTCATGAATTATCTCTTGCATTTCTTAAAACAATCCTGTCAAATAGGTACTATTATTATCCCCATTTTTCTGCTGAGGAAACTGAGGCAGGACAGATTTCAGTTACATGCCTAAGATCATACAATTAGTATTTAGATCAGGGCCAGGGAGTGAAGGTATTCTAGCTCCAGATTCCATAAAAAAATTTTTAACCCTGTGGCATATAGCAATGATTCCCAACTGGGGATGATTTTGGCCTCTAGAGACATATGAAGACATACTTTTGATTATTACAACTTGAGGGGGAATGGTACTGGCTGGCACCTAGTGAGTAGGAGCCAGGGATTCTATCCTACTTAACTTTCCCCAATGTACAGGACACCTCCCCACAACAAAGAATTGTCCATTCTACAATGTCAAGGCTGCTGAGGGTACCAAGTTGAGAAACCCTGGTCTACAGGGAAGGCATTATCATTGAACAAGTAATTATAAGTTCAATTCCTTAAATGTGAATTTTTTAGAAGGTGTTTTTTCTTCAGGCACTTCACAGATGAAGATTTTCCCAACTTGAAAGGCCATGTGTACTTTGAGTTTGCTCTAACAGCAGTGGAGGTTTGTGCCAAACTAGCTGCATTCTCTTTATTGAGAATGCTGTGTAGTGTTGGGGGTTTAGTTCCTAACTGTGAAATGAATGGGGCCAGATTGTAATCAGTACTAATAAACATGATTCTATATTCATTAGTTTCCAAAATGTCAGCAAGCTCAAATTTCAATTTAATTAGTGCTACCTTTCAGGTAACAGACAAAATAAATATATATTTCTTTAATAGATTGATCTATTAACTAACTTTGAGGTTGTTGTAAGAAATTAGAGATATTAATTATTTATTTGTTTATTTACTTACTTAGGTTACTGGGGATTGAGCCCAGAGGAGCTTTACTGATGAGCTACACACCCAGACCATTTTTTGTTTTTTATTTTGAGGCAGGGACTTTACTTCGTTGCTTAGGGCCTCACTATATTGCTGAAGCTGACCTCAAATTTGCAATCCTCCTGCCTCAGCCTTCCCAGACACTGGGATTACATTGCACCTGGCTCTAGAGATATTTAAATTAAGAAACTAACCAAGTATCTGGTAATATTAACAGTAGCAAGCTACACTTGTATCTCAATACAGTGTCAAGAATCTTAAAATTTCTGAAAATGGGGCACATTTGTGGAATGAAATGAGCTATACTCGAGGAGTCAAAAAGTCCACAATTCTCTCAACACTATGCAAGCAGAGAGAGACTAGAGTAAGACGACTATCTGAGAGTTGCCTGGTTCTTCCACAAGCAGAGCTTATTATCCTGCCCTTGGTCAATCAGTGTGATGAATCAGTGTTCTGTGTTGAATGTGTTTTTGCCTTTGTCTTTTTGAGGCTATTAGCTCTCCGAGGGCAGTGGTGTGGCTTATTTTTTACAATAAATGACAAAATAAATGTTTGTTAAATAAATACCTCCCAAAGCTACAAACTTTAAAAACTGCTTAGCAGAGTCAATTCCTATGAGAAAGGATTCTAAGTTTTTTTTTTTTTTTTTGGTGGGGAGGGGTGCTGGGGATTGAACCTAGGGGCCCTCTACACTAAGCTACATTTCCAGCCTTTTAAAGAAATTGTCCAGTTTTTTTTTTTTAATTGTCCAATTATTTAAGACAGGGTCTCACTAAATTTCCCAGAATGGCCTTGAATTTGTGACCCTCCAGCCTCAGCCTCCTAAATTTACTGGGAATACAGGCACATGCCATTGAACCCAACCTAAATTTTCCTTTTGTGTCTGGTTTTATTTTCTTTTTCCAGCACTGGACAAGAAACCTGGGGCCTTGCACATGCCAGGCAGGTGTTCTCCTACTGAGCCACATCCACAAACCCTCTTTTTTTAAAGTTGTTGATGGATCTTTATTTTATTTATTTATATGCAGTTCTGAAAATCGAACTCAGTGCCCACATGTGCTAGACAAGCTACTGAGGTACAACCCCAGCCCTTAAATTTTCCTTTTAACCAAGTCAACTACAGGAGACCTGACTGTGTTGACAGCACTGAGGCAAATACTAAATGAAGTGGGAATTAAAACAGTTCACACCTTGTCATGTCTTATTTAAATCACCAAGATTATTCAAAACATCCTGTCACCTGGCTCCATCCTATTCCTGATGTTCTGCCCAAGCTCCCTGGCAATTCCCACATTTTAGAGCAATTTCTTGGCACCCTATTTAAGAATCTTAATTTGATTCAATGGGAAAGCCTTAAGTTTTCATCTTAAGTTCTGTTTGTATCCTACAATTTTCTCACATTAATGTGCTTGTCACTTTACCCAATGATAATAAAAGCAGACTCCTCTATACCATCCCTTTTCCCCCTCCAACAGAGATTATACAGATGAAGTAGGCAGGAAGGCTACATAACCACACAAGCAAGGCTGAATAGTCCAGTGCTACCAAATGGAGAGAAGTCTTTGTTTTTAACAACAGTAGAGATAACAAGATACAACAAAAAATGTCTACTTTTTTGACAGCAAGTTTAGTACAATGAAGGCAAATCCACAGCAAATACTTCCTTAACAGACTACAACTGAATCTAGCCTCCTGGACCCTTCCACTGCCTTTCTGTTGAACACTCTTACCTTCCCTGTTCCTGTGGAAATGACCTGAGAGCTCTCACTGCTCTGATTCATAGTAAATGTCAAGATGCTTGGATTAGCAACAAGAAGACATCTCAGAATGTCAAATGTTCATGTGATGCCTGGACATCAAAGGTGGGAACACTTTTCTCATTCAGGTTGTTGGAAACGCAAAGATTCCTCCTCATTATGTGTAGGACTAATATACTAAAGGAGAATATTAACCACTGGAATCTGTAGGAACAGGAATGCTATTAATAGCCAGGGGAAAAAAGCTTCAAGTAAGTGTGGCCTTTGTTTGGGGGCGGGGGGGGGGGGATTTGGATACTATATTGGATCATACTGACATTAAGTTAAACAATCAATACTGTAACCTTACCTGGAACCCTGGATCTCAAGAAATAAAGAAACTTTCCATTCTTGGAATGCATGATGGCTCTCTTAATGAATTCTACTACAGATTGGCAGCGGTCCTCAAATTTGGGATGACACCACAGGCTGAAAGTTCCTGGAAAATTAAAAAGTAAAAACCTCAAAATTTAGTTTGGAAAGATCCAAGAAGGTTTGAACATTTTTACACTGATTCTCACTTTCAGGAGGGCATAGTTTGTGGGCAAGCTGGGTTCAAGATTCCTGAAGTCACCTATTCCTGCTTATCTTACAACCAATGAGAAGAAAGATGTTGCCTTTAATAAGACATGAATTAAGTCTTGTAAGTTTAAAAAAAAAAAAAAAACTTTATTTTGTTTATATCTTTACGTGGTGCTGAGGATCGAACCTAGTGCCTCACACATGTGAGGCAAGCACTCTACCAGTGTGCCACAACCCCAGCCCCTTATAAGGTTTTTATTAATAATAAATTCAAATACGAAAAACATTATAATAAAAAAGATTTTGTCAAATATGAACTTAATCCTTAAAACACAGACTTGCTATATTTATATACATATATACTTATATGTTTATGTGTGTGTATACACACACACACACACACACACACAGATATACGTACATATGTATATAAAATACACACACATCCTATAAAGACTATAAGAAAAGACTACCAATAGAAAAACCAAGTTTAAATGATATCCCTGTTAAAAAGATCTAAGTCCTTGGGCTGGGATTGTGGCTCAGTGGTAGAACACTCGCCTGACATGGGTGGGGCCCGACTTAGAACCTCAGCACCACATAAAAATAAAAAAAGGTATTGTGTTGTGTCCATTTACACCTTAAAAAAAAAAAAAGATCTAAGTCTTCAAGCATTCACAGATTAGCTAAGTAAGGACAAGCATAGAAGTTCATGGGTCTCACTCATTCATGTGTGTGTTAGGCACAGAAAACCAAAATCTAAGTCCCCCCCCCTTTTTTTTGGTACCAAGAATTGAATGCAGGAGCACTTAATCACTGAGCAATATCCCCAGTCCTTTTTATATTTCATTTTGAGACAGGATCTCGTTAAGTTGCTTAGAGCCTCACTAAGTTGCTGAAACTGTCTTTGAACCTGTGACCCTCCTGCCTCAACCTCCTGAGCCACTGGGATGACAGCATATGCTACCTATCATGCCCAGTAGTCTTTTCCTTCTTTAAAATCCCAAGCCCCAAGTTTCTACTTCAAATATCAGAATCCCAAAGACAAAAGGGAACCTGAAATCCCACAACTTCAACAGCAACAACAAAAAGAAAAACTCCAAAAACTAAAGCACTAGATTTCAAAAGAACAACCAAAAAAAAAAAAAAAAAAAAACCATACAAATAAGGGTATTAATCACACTAGGGAACTGTGATTTGAGTCCCTCTAGCTACTCTTACAGTATCACTTAAAAGATAAAGACAAATATGCCACTGCAAACTGGCAACTGAAAGGCCTACAAGGCTACTATTAAAAACTCCACTTATTCAAGGAAGAAGTCTCTTTGAATCAAAAGTAATTGAAGGCTGGGTGCAGTGGCACATTCCTATAATCCCAGAGGCTTGGGAAGCTGAGACAGGAGGAGCTCGAGTTCAAAGCCAGCCTCATCAATACCCAGGCACTAAGCAACTCAGTGAGACCCTGTCTCTAAATAAAATACAAAATAGGGCTGGGGATGTGGCTCAGTGGTTGAATGCCTGAGTTCAATCCCCAGTATATCCCCCACCCCCCAAAAAAAGTAATTAGAGAACTATTTGCAAGAGTACTAATTTCTGGTGTCTCACCTACCAGAAACTTAAAGGTCAAGCATTTATTTATCACTCCTTTAACATATTCACTTTAATTTTCACAGGTTTAAAAAAGCACTCTGAAATGCTTTGTCCTGCATTTTGGTTTTGTCTGTTTTGTTTTGATACTGGAGATTTGAATTCAGAGGCACTAAACCACATCCCCAGCCCTATTTTATATTTTATTTAGAGACAAGGTCTGAGTTACTTAGCATCTTGTTTTTGAACTTGCAATCCTCCTGCTTCAGCCTCCCCAGCCTCTGGGATTACAGGTGTAAGCCACCAGGCCCAACTTCATTTTGGTTTTTAGGAACAGCAGGGAAATASGCAGCAGTTTCCTTATTATGCAATTCATTCTCAGGTCTTTGGATTGAAGTTCTTTTCTCTTCATGCACCTTTAAGGTGGGGGGGGGGGGCAGAGGAAACCACGGCCACGCTGACCTAAACAGCTACTTCCTATCTCACAAGACAAATGCAAATAAGTCCAACAAATTGTGAGCTGAGACTGGGGAAGACACCATGGTGCCTGAGAGGAGCATGAGAGGCTCTTGAGATGCAGAGCTTTTTTAAGGTTGAGCACATGAGGGAAAACTGTGAGGGACAGGAAGGACAAATCCCTGAAATGCCCCAAAATTCTCTATACTTTTTTATTTATAGTATATGCAAGGATTCTGATGTACCACCAGTGACCAACACAAGTTTCAGGCCTGCGTCAAAAACAACTGTCTCAATATAAATATGGATCCAAACAGCTATATTTACAAGTCAGCTCATGGATACTCTGGGTACCCAAAACACCACCTGACCACAAAGAAAGAGGTATCACTGGGAGGACAGCAGAGAGTCTAAAGCACATGGATCACACAAATTCTAAGCATTCCAATGAAAACTTCCTAAGAGACTACAATACAAACCTGACCAAAAGAGAAAACTGTCATCACCATGCTGCCTCACAGGAAGTGACTTTCAGACAAATGTCACTATCAGGCAAAGAAATCACAGGATCTCTGGATGGTAAGTGTAATTATGAATAAAACTTAGGAAAATTTGTCTAATTGTCCTAGATTATTTCTTACTTCTATCAAAAGAGTTTTACTGTCTCTGTTCTCAGAAGCCTCGTCAGAAATTTTGTTCTTCCTATTTAGGAGACAAGATGCTGAGGAGACTTTAAAATGGAACTTCAGGGCTGGGGATAAAGCTCAGTGGTAAAGTGCTTGCCTAGCATGTACAAGGCCCTGGGTTTAATTTCCAGTACTGCAATAAATACATAAATGGAAGGAAGAATCTTCTCCCTCTCCTACCACCTGTCCAACATTTTTTCTAAAGACTAAAACCTATATCAACATTCAATGAGTTCATAATATTTCTGCCCCCTATTCCTAGTTCCATTCTTATAAATCCTTCTTCTGAAAATGTCAGGTAACAAAGGTAGAAAAAGGCAAAGGGGGAAACATCAGCATCTCTTACCTCTGTAGTGCTCCATTCTAGTGTGGTGGGTGATACCCTGTGATCGGAAACTGAGGCTCAGAATATAACGAGGATCGGAACTGTCCCGTACCAGGAAAGAACCATCTGGCTTCCCTTTTAGCTTCATCTCTGCATCTTCCCAATTCATTGGTCCCCAATACCAACCACACTATCAAAGGTAAGAAATAGACAAGTGGTTAAAAGAACTAAGAAACATCAATGTTTTCAGCACAATCCATCTTAGCAAAGGAGAACCCACCCACCCCCCCCCCGCCCAATCTCCAAAACATTTGAGTAAGCAAGAGCCACTGCAAGTGTCAGCAACAATCATCAAGCTCATTATACCTTTAGGCTTTCAAAGCAATGGAAAATTAATTCTACAATTCCTTTACCAAGGCCCTTCCAAAGAAAAGAAAACAGAAAAGATTTAAGTTGTACATTTCTCTACAACCTTCCTTCATCATGTTCACATTTTCCCCCTCAAATTCAATTTTATTAAATCTCTTGTAGAATTAACAAAAATAACACAGTATTTTTCACTGTAAATATGAAGGCAAGGAAACTACTCTTCCTCTAAAAACAAGGAGGATCTTGGCACAGAACATGGACATGAAAGAAGAAGTGGGCTGCCATTTCTCAGGCACCACCTACCTTCTCCAGCTCTCGAAGGCTGGCTGCAAAGCTGCTAGAGTCAGGCCGGTAGAGGGGACATTGGAGGTGCTGCGGGGGCTGGCTGTGTAGGGATTCAGCTGCTCGGATGGGGGCAATCCGGGGAAACGCATCTGCACAGCAAGAAAGTGGGGGTCACTTGTTTACCATTATTGCTCCCACCCACAGATACCTTCCCCCCAAAAAGAGATGCTAACTGAAGAGGGGCAAGGCATTAGAAGCTAAGCTGGAAAGGTGGAAGCCAAAGCAGTGGGAAAGAGCTGGATGGGCTGGAACAAAAAGCTGTGTGGGCTTGTGTAAGCTGTGAAGGATGGGTGGGGGCATTTAACCCCTGGGAAGGGGTAAGGGAGCTGCCCACTAACCTGACTAAGGTGACTACTTCAGGGGCTTCACCAGCCTAGAGCGATTCCAACTTCTCCCACCTCGAAGTGAAGTGTCGGTAAAGCAGCCTTGGAAATAGTGACTTGCTTACTTGCCCGGGAAGAATAACGATTTTGCCAGGCAAGTAGAAAACAATGCTGATTTCATTCATTTTATTCCTTGGGTACTGGAGGCTGGCAAAGCAGGTATGGGCCACTAAATGCTTGGTACTTATTTACAAGGCAAGCTTTGCGCAGTGGCAGTATCGTAGCCAATGAGGTTTATCCGAGGCGCGATTATTGCTAATTGAAAACTTATTTACAAGGCTGCAGTAAATACTAAAAGTTTAGAAAAACCACATAATTTTGAAAACCAGCAACATACTAAACCTCCTCACTATTCTGAAATTAATACAATGTCTTATGTGATATCTACCTAAGGATCACAAAACAGTCTTATAATAGCAAAGATAAAAAATACAATAGTCTTTTATTCCTAAAAAAACTCAAGATTCACCTCCACAGAGTAACGAGTTAGAAAAAACAATTCTCGGCCTCATTTCTAAGGAGTTCTAGTCCAGCCAAAGGGGAAAAGATTTAAGCTTTCTCATATTTATTTCCACAAATAGATTTCTCCCATCCTTCAACTTTTATGAGTCTTGTCTCTAAGCTAAGCTAACCTGGGGCATGGGGTGGAGGAGGCGGAGGTAGGGGGAAAGACTGCAGGGAAGACCCCATCGGAGCCACAAGGACGGATGTAGGCAGCGTCCCACTGATATCATCTAGAAGAGAGAACAAAAGCAAAGACGTTCAGAAAAATGAGCACAGAATGAGTGAGGTGAAGGCAGAAGAGAGGGAGAAGGATTATCAGGCTGCCCTCTGGGGCAAGCTGGCCTGACCTTCACCCCATCTTTTTGCACAGAGGATGACAATCATCTTAATCTGGTTTGCTCTGCTTAGAAAGCAGGAGAGTAAGGATATTCCTAAAGCATCTCAATAGCAGTAGATTCAGGGCAAGATAAATGAAAAGCTAATTAACAAATGGGCAGTAAATATTGCAGCATGCAGKTAAGAGACCTGTTTAAATGCCTAGGGAGATGACAGCAGTGCTGAGAAAAGGACAGGAAATAATTGAGTCATCATTAGAAACTCAAAAGTTTATCTGGCTCCTGACAAAGAACAAGGCCCTAAATCTCACCCTCCCACTACAGAAAGATAGCAGATAGGAGAGGAAACTATACCTAAGAGGCTGAGGCTTCTTCTTGGAGGAGGAGGGGGAGTTGGAGGGTGTGGAGAAGTCAGGCCCCGCTGAGAAATGTCCACGTCCACAAGCGACACTGTTTCACCTGAAGGATTCATGGAGCAAGCGTGTTACAGAAGCACCTTGCCCAAAGCTGAGGCCAGCAGCAGAGGAAAGTAAAAGGGCAAGCAAGGTTGACTAGAGGTTCATGGCTCTTAAAAAATTGAAAACCTGGGGGGCTGGGGAATGTGGCTCAAGTGGTAGTGCGCTCGCCTGGAATGCGCGGGGCGCTGGGTTCGATCCTCAGCACCACATACAAATAAAATAAAGATATTGTGTCCACCGAAAACTAAAAAATAAATATTAAAAAATTCTCTCTCTCTCTCTCCTTTAAAAAAAAAAAATTAAAAACCTAATGCTGTTCAGGGGCTAGAATCACCCCTGAACATTAGTAAATTTAACTGCAGGGAAGCTGCATACAGATGAAGTTCCCAACATTCACCTAGATGGCTTTCCACAACTAGATTTCCCAGAGTATTCACCTAAAACAGAGTCTACCTTCTATCAATTCATTCCTAATAGTTGAGGTTACAAAGTTTGAAAGTGGATTTATAACACTAAAACTACTCCCTCAGTTACTAAGTCAGAGATAAGCTTAGAGGGTATAGGAATTTGGTAGGGGTGGCTCATGGTTTTCCTTATTTGCCAGCATGTCACGCAGGTTTGTTCTTTGCTATATACTCTACTCCTTGCCACCCAACTCTACCTAACCACTCTCCACTAAGTCACCAGAAAATGAAGGGTATTTTCTAAGGCAGATTAATGGCCAGGGATAGGTTCTGAAGTCTACTCTACAGATCAGAACTCAAAATGTCCCTAAATTTAACCCTTGAGCTGTTACTTCCAACACATTCTTCTCATTCAGGGCTGAATTAGCCCCTTGGTTAGTATTTAAATGACTCAGGTTGAGAAAAGTGAGGTGGCCAATATCTTTAAAAGGCCTGGAGGTGGGCTGGGATTGTGGGCTCAGTGGCAGAGTGCTTGCCTAGCATGCATGAGGCATTGGTTTTAATCCTCAGCACCACAAGAAAATAAATAAAATAAATATTGTGTCCAACTACAACCAAAAAAAAAAATTAATTAAAAAAAAAAAAAGCCAGGAGGCAGGTTTTCAGAATCTAAACACACATACACACAAAAAGTTCTCTTCTTTTAGAGGGGGAGGGGGTACTGGAGATTGAACATAGGGGCAATTAAGCACTGAACCACATCCTTAGACCTTTTTTATACTTTATTAAAGTCAGTCTCACTGAGTTGCTTGAAGCCTTGCTAAATTGCTGAGGCTGTCTTTAAACTCCCAATCCTCTTGCCTCAGCCTCCCGAGCTGCTGGGATTACAGGCATAACAAAGTTCTTAAACACTAAGATAAGCGGAGGGGGGCTGGGGTTGTAGCTCAGTGGTAGAACACTTGCACTCGCCTAGCATGTATGAGGCAATGGGTTTGATCCTCAGCATCACATAAAAATAAATAAATAAAGGTATTGTGTCCATCTACAAATAAAAATATTTTAAAAATAAACAGAGGGCTGGAGGTATAGTTTAGTGCACTTGTCTAGCATGCCCATGGCCCTGGGTTCCATGCCCAGTACTAAAGGGGGGGAAAAATAAGAAAAGTTCCAGGAAGCTGATCTGGCCTCATGACACAGCTTGATAACTGACAGCCTCATTGCCCTGAGCAGTGCAACAGGCCCAAAGAAGTCTCTTTCCTGGCAGGACAAAGAGGTGTAGGTTATAAATGTAGTTCTTAAATAAAAGATATAATTCAACAGAACTAAGGCTGTCTGAACCTAAAATTACAAATGTGTGCATTTCTTATTTTAAGAATAAAATAACTATTAGCTAAAAAGACACATTGCTAACAATATGAACCTAAAATTACAAATGTGTGCATTTCTTATTTTAAGAATAAAATAACTATTAGCTAAAAAGACACATTGCTAACAATATGAACCTAAAATTACAAATGTGTGCATTTCTTATTTTAAGAATAAAATAACTATTAGCTAAAAAGACACATTGCTAACAATATGAACCTAAAATTACAAATGTGTGCATTTCTTATTTTAAGAATAAAATAACTATTAGCTAAAAAGACACACTGCTAACAATATACAAACTTTTCCTTTCTTTCTTTCTTTTTTTCAGACAGAATCTTGCTATGTTATCTAGGCTGGGCCTCTTGAGCAGCTGGGATTACAAGTGTGTGCCACTGCACCTGGCTTCAGGATACAATTGTTTAATTCTGGGCTTGGAATAAGAACAGAGACCTCCTTCTCCACTATAGTAGATATCTACACAGATACCAACTCACTTGTTCTGACAGCTCATCACAGTCTACCCAATTGGGGGTCCTATTGGTCTGCTTACCATGTTCCCAGAAATATCCATTCCCAAATCGTAATTCTTCCAAACACCCTTTAAAAAAAAAAAAAAAAGTGTGTGTGTGTGTGTGTGTGTGTATTTAGTTGTAGATGGACAAAACACCCTTATTTTACTTATTTATCTGCTTATGTGGTGCTGAATATTGAACCCAGTGCCTCACACATGCTAGGCAAACGCTCTATCACTGAGCCACAACCCTAGTCCCCAAACAACTTTTTTTTTCGTTGTAGATGGACACAATACCTTTTATTTTTATGTAGTGCTGAGGCTTGAACCCAGTGCCTCACATGTACTAGGCGAGTGTTCTACCACTGAGCCACAAACCCAGCCCTCCCCAAACACCTTTTTAAGGGACATAATATCCAAAATAATTTTTTAAAGAGAGAGAGAGAGAGAGAGAGAGAGAGAGAGAGAGAGAATTTTAATATTTATTGTTTAGTTTTCGGCGGACACAACATCTTTGTTTGTATGTGGTGCTGAGGATCGAACCCGGGCCGTATGCATGCCAGGCGAGCGCGCTACCGCTTGAGCCACATCCCTAGCCCAATCCAAAATAATTTGAAGTTGGGATTTTTTTACAACCAGTGATTGTAATTGAGAAGCTTTTTAAAAAGAAGAATATTCAGTTTCTGAGAGTTGAGGTGTGGTAAAGACCTTTGCTATAATAGTTTATTCAATCAGGAGCTTAACATCCAACTAACAGAACAGAAGGTTTCCCTATCTGAAAAAAAATTCCCATAAAATAAGGCAGCAGTTACCCATTACCCACAGGACATTCAACAGCCTTCCTACTCTAGCAACTGTGTTCCCTGCTGCAAGAGGAGAGACTTAAATTAGACACCATGAAGAACTCTAACAGCTGCAAAAATTGCTCACCCCTAAAATGGGTAAGACAAGAGCTCATGTAATCCCCTTTGCCCAAAGTCTTTAAAAATAGATCAGATACTATGGATCATTTTTATTAGGTAATCTATGAACTCTCTTGGAAGCAGGGATGGGAATTATATAACTTGAGAGTCTTTTATGCATTGTGAGCTTATAAATTTAAATTTACACTTTAAACATTTAATTTATTTGTGATGACCCTGAACTAAGCACTGCATAACTGCTAAGGCCACTCAATTACCAAAAAGCAGCCTTTACCTCCAAGTTTAAAGCATCCAAAGTCAAGAATATATTCCACACCATTAAAAATAGCCTTACTCCAAATCCAGTGGGTATGGAATGGAGGAAATTACTGCAGACATGCCTGAAGCCCCCCTGTGATGGATCTGCAAATATATTTCCTAACAGGCCTCAGAATATTCTTGCTTTCAGATGTTAGAAGAAAAAGATATCGCCCTTACCTGTGAACAGGGGACTGAAGGAGACCGGAGAAAAGGCACTTTGAGTTCTTGTCAACCTGGGTTTCCTAAGGGGCAAGAAAGCACACAGAGAATAAAGGGGAGAAAAGAACATGCATGCATTTAAATCACTACCAAACTCAATTTCAGATGCAGTGAAAAACAAAGCAAACCTAGTCATTGTCAGCAACACTTTTGTAATAAAGCCTTAAATTTAAAGGAGGAGAGTGAAATAATTAAGGCAATTCCTTAAATAGATTTGGCTACCAAATTCAGCAGCCTACAAAGCAATGAGAAATCCCTTTGGATCACTCCATACCCAGCACATGCAAAGAGTAAAGCACCTTGAGTGGTAATTAGCAAGTCCATTTCAAGAGGAAGGAAGTCAGAAGCAGAGTTGATTTTCATTTGGGAGCCAAGAAAAAGGCTCTAGACCTGAGTAGGTGCCAGCTTACAGCAACAGCTTTCCCTCTGGGCCTGCATCTAGGAGTAGAAGGTCCCAAAGGGAGCCAGGGAACATATTCTGACCTGAAAGAACACTACAGAAGCACTCCAATCTTCAAACATAGAGACCTCTGAATTCTACACAGTTGCCCTGAGGTTCAAAAGATCGCCACTTCAGGGTAGGTTCCCTGCCTGGTACCCAAGGACAGCCCCTTCTCTCTGAGCTGCTCTTCCTAACTTTTCTTTGATGCTGTTCCAGGGACCACCTAAAAACTCAGATCACACCTTTTTTTTTTTTTTCTTTTGGCAGTACAGAGGATTGAATCCAGAGTCTCATATATGCTAGGCAAATACTCTACCACAAGCTGCATCCACTTTTTGTATCTTATTTTTGAGAGAGGGTCTTGCTAAGTTGCCCTGGCTGGTTTTGAATTTTTTATCCTCCTGCCTCAGCCTCTGCAATCACTGAATTACAAACATGCACCATCACTCCAAGTTCTAAATCTCCTTTTGTTTACACACCAAAGGTGACTTTAGTTTCTAGTAATTTTAACTGGCTTTTCAGCAAGAAATGAAAGAAATTCAAAGACTCTAACATAAGCTTTCTGGTTAGAAATGTACTATATTGTTTACACACCAAAGGTGACTTTAGTTTCTAGTAATTTTAACTGGCTTTTCAGCAAGAAATGAAAGAAATTCAAAGACTCTAACATAAGCTTTCTGGTTAGAAATGTACTATATTGTTTACACACCAAAGGTGACTTTAGTTTCTAGTAATTTTAACTGGCTTTTCAGCAAGAAATGAAAGAAATTCAAAGACTCTAACATAAGCTTTCTGGTTAGAAATGTACTATATTAAAAAAACTCAACTCAGGATAATTGAATTAACTACAAGAAAAGATCTTGTTGAGGTGATGAACATAGGCTCCATGCTGGCCAAGACACAAGTTTGTCAAAATTAATAGAAATGGACAACTAAAAAAGATGAATTTTGGGGCTGGGGATGTGGCTCAAGCRGTAGCGCGCTTGCCTGGCATGCGTGCGACCCGGGTTCGATCCTCAGCACCACATACCAACAAAGATGTTGTGTCCGCTGAGAACTAAAAAAAAAAAAAAAAAGATGAATTTTTCTGGGTATGGTAGTGCATACCTGTAATCCCAGCGGCCTGGAGGATTGCAAAATCAAGGCTAGCCTCAGCAACTTCATGAGGCCCTAAGCAACTTAGTGAGACCCTAACTCAAAATAAAAAAAATAAAAAAGGGCTGGGGATGTAGTTCAATGGTTGAGCATCCCTAGGTTCAACAATCTCCATACTGGGGGGGAAAAAAACAACACATCACAATTATACCTCAATAAACTAGACTTGAAAAAAATCCCAACCCAAGACTAACTGAATGACTCCATGTGTTATAGCTATAATTATGGCATTATAGGGACTGACTCCAGGCCTGATTGCTGGCTCACCTTCCAAAAATATTCTAACCCAAAGGATAAATAGGACTTAATTCTTTTTAACAATCAACTGCATTAATAGAGGGAGGCAAAAGCAAAGAAAATCCAAAATGAAATTCTATTTTAAAATTACCTGACTTCAGAGATGTTTATGCAATTATGATTTAAGATGGATATCTAAACTTCTCAGGATTCAGACAAAATTCCAAAATCATTCCATGAAGATTTTACTCAGAAAGAGCGGAAGCTTAGGTAGTTTCCTTCTCCTAGACGTATCATCACACTCACTCTTGCAACCTCCTCCTATTAAGACTTGAAGGGTCTAATGATACCTCAGCCACAACACACACAGGAGATAGGGCTACATAAAAACAATACACAACCACACATAGCTCCTCTATTTAAAAAAAGTTTTTCATGACTGCAGCTTAGTGCCAACAATCCAAAGGGCTCGAATGGAAAGTTAATTCCACTGGACATGAACTTCTGAAGAGATTCCTAACTGACTTTTATTTGATAACTTGTGGTTACAACATTAAACTCAGCAAGTAGAAACCCAAAGCACTGGCCTTTCAAAAGGTTCACACCTCAGCCATTTGGCTGTTTGCCTCTTTTCAAAGGAAGCTGCATTACTCTGCCATCTGCCCATGCTGGGGACGAGTCTCTTCAGTGCCAAGCACTGAAGATCGGCAGTACCCACATGCACACATCTTGTGGAGGCCTTCTCACTTCAGCTCATCTTCTCTCCCACCCCCGACATTTTGAAGAAGAGAATCATAGTTTCTAGGATTTAGAAAAAGAAAAACATCTGAATCTAAACCCAGGCAGAGCTATTTGAGAGCACAGCACCGGGATGGTTTTTCCTGGCAAATAAGGATGACTTGAAGCTGGAACTAAGAGGTAAAAGCTCCAAGAGACTAAACAAGACTAATAATGAATATGTGTGCTTCTTTTATTCTTTGGGAGATGCTTAACTAAAAATCCAAAGAGGTTTCTATCTCAGGGATCCTGAGAGTATTCTAATGGCAGTCATTCATGGAAAGACTAATCTAGATGACTATTTGAAAAAAAAAAAAAAAGAGCAAGGGAATGATTAACATAAAATTGAGAATGGTAGTTATCTGGGAGAGGAGCAAAATGTAAACACCAAACAACACTCAGGTTTTCAAAGGTACTGATAACATTCTATACATTTGGGAAGCTTCTCAAGTACATATATTTTCTATATCCCCTTTTGTATATAGAAAACATATGGAATGATAAAAGCTCATTCTAAGTGGACATCCTGTTTTTTTCCCAGAGCAACATGAGTCATGTGGCTCCAGATAAACATTTTTAACTAATTCTCTATATCATATCCCTGTGTTATTTATTACTCCCCAGATCACCTTGACAAGCATTAGGGTACAAAGTTAATCCACTGTAATTTGCCAGTGGGCCATTTGCATCCAAGTAGCAGAAACATTTGAGAGGTGGCCTGGGCTTAGGGCAGAATTTGGTGGGTTACTCCTCTATAGGACAGGGGCAGACAGCATAAGGCAAAGGTCTTCTTTGAGGCTAGCAGTCTTTTTGTGTGAGCTGCCAATGCTGTAGGTGGCAAAAGAGACAATGCCTCTGTTCATTTCCACTCTGCAAATTACTATTTGTACTGCAACAGATTTATGAGATAAAAGGAGTTATAAGCACTAAACTGTACAGGATGACAACACACAGATATAACCATTGGCCAATTTTCAAATTCCTTAAAACCTAAAATTAAAACAATGAAATAATAAGCCCTCTCTCTCCTGTCCATAAATCCCTCCACTGATGCCCTAAGACTTACAAATATCCTTTTTAAAAGTAACTTCCAAAGTAGGATACCCAAATACCAAGCTTTGCAGTCCCAATGTACCTCTGCCCCTGCTAAAGCACACAGTGCCAAGTCAGGCAGCCTGTGCCATTTCCAACACATCATAAGCCAGTGTCTGTTCATGTGCTACAGGCACAAAACCATGTGTTCATTTTTAGTTCCAATACACAGACATCTGTGCAGCAAGGTCAGATCCAAAACTACATCATAAACCAACTAAAGAACCTACGGATGGAACTTCCAGGAAAAAGCCAAGAGGCATAGTCCAACACCTAAAATCTTAAGAATGATGTTGGCCAGGAGAATGGTAAGTAAAAGGCACAAGACTCAAACACACAGAGATTTCTAAAGCTAAGGGGTTCATTCTAAGAGAGTTGCCAACCACAACCACTTTGTGGAAAAATAGTTAAAAAGATCAACAGACCCAAAACCCAAACATAAAGTCAGAACTTCCTCACCACACCATAAAATCATTCAACTTTCATATTATGACTCAAAAAAGCATCCTTAGGCCTGAAGACCCAAGGAAACTAAAAAAGTTTTCTCCTGACAGGTCTGTCCATGACAGAAGGGCCTCAAACAAAGGCCAAGGCAACTTGCCTCTCTGTTTAGAATTGTATCTTTTCCACCAACAAATAGACAGGAAGCAACCATAAAACTGTTCTCCATTTCTCCACTTCACAACTATGAAGACTACCCGTAATAGCCTCAACTGTTATTTTGGTAAAGACAAATCTTGAAAAGTAAAACAAGGTACCCATTCCAACCAAGTATGTATTATGTGATGATTAAAAAAGGGCAGATCAAATACTATTTTTCACCAAATCCAAAGGAAGACAATCAGCTCAACATATGTGAACAGGACAAGGGAACTCCACTGGTTTTCCTGAAATAGGAAAGTTCTATATTATGAGGCCCATAGGCATCAAGCCCAGCTCTCTGAATTCCAACATATGCATGGTATATACAGCCTAGGCCAGTTCCCAAGAACAGAAACCTGATTAGTTGGCAGAATCATTTCTTACTTCACTTAAAAAGGGTTCTCACTGAAAGCATAGTGGTGCATGCCTACACTTCTAGCTACTTGGGAGAATAAGGCAGGGTCATCAYAAGGTCGAGGAAAGGCTCTGCAACTGCAACTTAGTGAGACTGTCTGAAAAAATGAAAATGGCTGGTGATGTAATTCAGTGGCAGAATGCTTCTTGGGTTCAATCCCCAGTACCCACACCAAAAAAAAAAAAAAAAAACAAATTCTCTAGGCTAACTCATACTACTCTTCATGCTCAGTATAATTCAGTCAGGTCCACTTAGCAAATCGAAAGCATCTGAAAGTGTTGTAGGGACAGACAAAGCAAGAAAGTCAAGTTTGGATTCATGTTAAAATATAGAAACTGCTAAGCCTTATAAAATGATGATTTAAGTATTTTCTAATAGATAGCTGTGGGAAAGGTAGATATTGAAAAGAGTGAAGAGAATTATGCCTAGAGGTTACTGTAAATGCCCCAAATTATACAGCAAAGACAGCAGAGGCCCATAATTAACTAACAATGAGGAGGAAGGCATATACCCTTTGGCAAAAGACTGAAATTTCTCACTGCTTCCATATCCTACCAATCAAAATAAGAGAACAAGCTAAAAATTCAAACTCATCCTTCCTCTCAACAGGGCGGACTTGCTTAGGAGGTGCAGATCCACAGAAATCACAAGTACCCTGGCCAGACTCACCAAGTTTCTCACAGCTGTGAGGCTGCCAACAAGACTGGCACATAGTAAGCTGTGGAAAAGCTAACAAGCAGCAGCAAATCCTATGCACAGAAAAAATTTACCATTTCAGTCTTATTATTTCTTTTCCAAAAAGCACAAAATATTCCATCTAGATTTTCTTGTCTTCATTCTATTCCTGTAAGAACCAGAACAATATAGCTATAGCTCTCTCATTTTATAGCTGAAAAAAAAAAAAAAAGACAAATTCAACCTCTATCTCACAGATGATGTTGGGGGGTCAAAAGGAAATATAGACTTTTGCATTTTCTATACAACATGCTGTCTACAAACAACAGTCAACCAAACATTTAGACACAAATACCTAGCTCTTCTCCAATTCATCAGAAAAAACCCTTGGACCAAAAAATGTAATTCTCCAGTGCCCTGAACTAAGCTTCTTTGCAGATGTACAGCCCAATTTGCTTTGCAGCAGAAATCTGTATTGTGCTTAGTGTGAGGGTTGGTGACAGAGCAGCCAATGACCATTAAATTCTGCTTCCAAAGGCAAAAAACCGTATAATGTTATACGCTTTTCCTCTTCCTAATCTATTAGACATAACAGCTAATTTCACGCCACCTCATATTTGGTGTTTCTGAAATCTTAGACCAAGTCCTGGTCAATATGGAACAAAGGCAAGACAAGCTACAAGAAAATTAGCAATCTATTCTATGTCCTTACATAGAGCTTCAATCCCACCCTCTACCCTGATCTGATGAAAATTTCATCTCTATTGGTAACTGGAGCATCAAATGCATAAGTGGCCACAAAAAAAAAAAAAAAAAAAAAAAGCTGTTTCATCAGTCACACACTTTTCAAGACTTAAACTCCCAGCAAATGTATTCATCAGGAAGCAAATGTAGAAATTTGGGCCTATCTGAAATGGTAAGACACTGGTTTCTTTAGGGAGCTTGGGTTTGGCCTGATCCCCAAGATAATAAACCCACAGCAGAGCTGTTCAGAAAGGGCAACAAAGCCATATCCAGCCCACATTTTCCTCCTGGAGTATCCTAGTTTCCTTGAGAAGTCAACGGATGAATGGTTCTCAGTCCAGGATCAACTGGGAGCTTTATAAAAATTCAAATTCTTGCTGAGTACGGTGCACACACTTGTGATAATGCTACCCGGGAGGCTGAAGCAAGAGGACTGCAATTTCAAGGCCACCTTTGGCAACTTAGTGAGAACCTGTCGCAAAAAAAGAGATAAGGGGCTGGGGTTGTGGCTCAGCCGTAGAGTGCTTGACTAGCATGTATAAGGCCCTGGGTTCGATCCTCAGCACCATATTAAAATAAAGGTATTGTGTCCAATTACAAATAAAAAAATAAAATATTTTTTAAAAAAGGATAGGGAAGTGGTTCAGTGGTAGAGTGCCTCTGGGTTCAATTCCTAATACTGCAAAAACACAAAAACAAAAATTCAAAATTCTGTGGGTTCCAGATACACAGATCTTTTCAGAGAGCCCACCAGTGATTCTGGCACACAGCAAGATTGTCAACTTATACAGGCTACCGACCTTTTTACCTTCTTTTTTTGGGGGGAGCAGAGATTGAACACAGTGAACCTCTACCACTGAGCTACCCTTCCAACCCTTTTTATTTTTTATTTTGAGGTAGGGTCTTACTAAGTTGCTGAGGCTGGCCTTGAACTTATGATCCTCATGCCCCAGTCTCCCAGGTAGCTGGAATTACAGGCACATGCACCCATGCCTGGCTAATCTGCCCAGTGTGTCTCAAGAATCCACAATAGCAGTTATCACAAGGGAAATCTTATTTCATTGACACAAAAGTTGACAGCTTTCTAAACTGATAATAAAGATGTAATGCTAGATGTCAAAGATCAGTCCACCTTTTAGAGATGCAGAAAAAAGCTCAATGCCTAATTTTGGAATTTTCATTAATTGGCCTAGAACTCATACACCAATGTCTATACCTCACATTCATAACTCTCACATGGGCTTGAGAGACAGAGCAAAGCTATTTTCTGTTTTCACAGACAGTAGTCAGTACAGAGGATTTAGATAGCAAGAACAACCAGAAAAACATTACAACTGAATTCAGGTGCCCAACAGATTACTGGCCTATAATACACAAGTTCCTTAGGTCATTTGTATGTTTGAGGGTGAAGGGGAGTGGGATGCAGGTAAACAGAACAACAAGGTGGTCAAGACAATAAGCAAGGTAACGGGGTCACACTTTTTGCTCCAAAGACCAAACATTTCCATCAACTTTTTTGACCCAAAGGCCCAAACATTTCTAGCAATCTCCCTGCAGAGCTAAGGTGGAAAGACACTTTGGAACATCTAAAAAATAGCGGAGCCAGGGTGGGGGTGGGCAGCGGGTTTCAAATCATCTCCAGAGATGCTAACCAAATGATAAGTGTCATCCATCCAGTGTAAACTCAAGAATCTTGAGTGAAAGCTGTTTCCAGCTGTTACCACAATTAGCTCTGATCTCATGTAAGATGCCACAACCTTTAGCCACAAGATTCTGCCTCCTCATGAAGACCATATCTTAAGAATTGCCAAGATCCTGTTAACAGTATTTAAAAAGGGGGGGGGGGCGAAACAAGAAAAGGAAGTTTGTCGCCAGCCCCCGAACTGGGCTCACCTCCCCGGGTCCAGCTCCCGGCCCGCAGAGCCTCCCATGTCCGTCAGACTCGCAGCTGAAGCAGCCAGCTCTCCAGAAGGCCTCTTGCCGGTTCCATCCCCACTGCTGGAGCCACCGTTGCAGCTCTTCGTGCGAAAGAGGCGACTGAGGCGGATTTTGAAGGAGCCCTTACGAGAAGGAGCCGCGAGCGGCCGGAGGGGCCCAGGAGGTGGCAGCGGCGGGGGAGGTTGTTGCTGCTGCTGCTCCCCTCGACTCAGGCGCACTGGAGGGACCAAGTCCTGCAGCGGGAAGGGCACTGGGGGTAATTCGGGGCCTGAGGGCTGCAGCAGAAGCCGGCCGCCCCCTCCTCCTCCACGGCCCGGGCTGCTGAGCTCCTCTTCCGAGCAGCTGTTAGTCTCCAGGCTCTCGGCCTCCGATTCCAAGCCCTCCAGGACCAACAGTGCGTCGCTCGTCTCTGTGGGGTCCTCCCCGGCCTGCGAGGTGGCAGCAGGTGCCTGGGGCTGCGGAGGGGGCAGCTGAGGCGGACATGGGCATGGGCAGCAGCCCCCTCCTACTGTCTTGACCCCCGGCCCCGCCGGCTGCCCCAGCCCCAGAGCCGCCAACTGAGCCTCTAGTCCAGCCACCGGGCCCCAGGTCCGCTCAAGCGCCAAGCCTGGTGGCAGGGCCTTGGGGTCCAGGGCACAGCGGTGCCGGGGACACAGCAGTTCCGAGGGTCCTGGCTCCGAAGCCGCCTCCGCGTCCTCCTCCTCAGGCGGCCGACCCACGTTGCGGAACACCATCAGCTGAGGCGGTCGGGAGCCCCGCGGGCCCGGCCGCGCGAGGAAGGGTGGCGGCGGGGGACCATGGCCGGGGGGTGGCGGCGGTGGGCCTGGCTCGGGGGCCGCCTCTCCATAGCCGAGAAGGCGGCTCAGGACACGGTACGAAGCGGCCGCCGCCGCCGCCTCGCCATCCCGGAGCTCGGCTCCCTGCATCGAGGAGAGGGAGGAGAGGGAGGGGAGGGCGGGCGGCTGGGAGCCGGGCTGGGGTGGGGACTAGGTCGGGCCCCACCGGAGCCCCGCCCGCCGCGGCCCCCGAAGCGACAGCACTAACGGCCACCGCGGCCTCTGCCTCATAGAGGGGGGCGGGGGGCGCGCGGAGCCCAGCGCGAGCCCAGGCCGCGCGCCACCGCCGCCGAGGACCGCCCCCAGATGCGTCACTTCCGGAAGGCTGGACCACTCCCCTTTCCCGAGGGCGTGCTCGGGCCGGCCTCCGCAGCGCTTGACGTTGCGCGCGCCCTGAGTTGCTATTGGCGGTGAGCTGGTTTTCTACCGGCGTTTGTCTCTTGCACCTAAGACTCCTGCTTTTCACTTCCTGGGCACCCAGACCTTGGCCATCCCTTTCAGTACAGTGGGTCCTGGTTCTGGTACTGGGAGAGAGTTGCTGGCTTTGAGAGTATAATTCTTGTTCCGTTTAAGTCCTTGAAATATGTGATCTTGGCCAAGTCATTTCGTTCATCTGTATCCCCTGGTGACATCCACTGAATTATGGAGTGACTACATGAATAATGTGTTCTAGATCCAGTRGTGGGCTAATGAGTGTTTAACAACTGGCTGTCCAGGGGAAGAAAGGGAATTGTGTGCTATATATAAGCACACATTTATCAAAATTTGCTGATATAAAGAATGTATAGCACACAATTTACAAATAATAGAAATATACAATAGCAAACTCCATATAATTGATTTTCACAGAATTCTTTCACTTATTTTTGCTAAATTCTTTATGTATTGTGTGTGTTTGTGTATGCGCACACACATGCCACTGGAGACAGAACTCTGGGCCTTGCTAGGCATGAGCTCAACCACTGGGCTACATCCCCAAGCACTTGCCACACTTACTTTGGTAGCCAAATGTTACAAGGAGTATAACTGCAACAAGAATCTTGATTGCCATTGCCTTCTGTTAATACAAGAAGGAAGTGAAAAAGCAGAAAAGTTTGAATTGTCAATGATGGGAGTAACTTCTTTGCTGAATCAGAAAACAGTTTCAAATAATGGAAGAGTTATTTRTTTTTGTGCTGTTCATCATGTTTTTTTTTTTGTTGTTGTTGTTATTGTTTTTTGTTTGTTTGTTTGTTTGGTGCTGGGGATTGAACTCAGGGGTACCCCAGCACTGAGCCACATCCCCAGCCCTATTTTTTGTATTTTTTGGTTTATTTTTAATTTAAAGCAGGGACTCACTGAGTTGCTTAGTGCCTCATTAATTGCTGAAGCTAGCTTTGAACTCTAGATCTTTCTGCCTCAGCCTCCTGAGCCACTGTGATTACAGGTGTGTGCCATCTTCCCAGGCTTGTGCTATTCATAATATTACAGACATAAACATAAAGTTTAAATCTGAATTATTAACATGTTCTCCATCACTTAAAAAAAGGGTTTTTTTAGTTGTAGTTGGACACAATACCTTTATTTTATGTATTTATTTTTTATGTGGTGCTGAGGACAGAACCCAGTGCCTGGCATGCTAGGCAAGAGCTCTACCACTGAGCCCCACCCCAGCCCCATCACTTTCTTAAGTCCAGATAAATAAACAAAACAGTAATAAAGCACTTGCCCCATGGTTGGCTTCAGTCTATCAACCTGACCTTACTAGACACAGAGGAAGACAGGATCTATAACATATCTTATTTATGTGGTAGTTTAATCATACAGATACAAGGAATATAATACCAAAAGTGTAGGTAAAATTATTAGGAAGTGATGAGATTGGAGAATTTATCACCTTTATTTTTAATATAATTCAATCATGTATGTCTGTGTGTATTTATGTTTTGCTGTGCTGGGGATCAAATACAGGGCCTTGCACATTGTAGGCAAATGTTCTACTACTGAGCTATATCCCTAACTCTCCAAATTTCTATAATTTAATTTCTTTTCTTTTTTTTTTTTTTTTAGCACTGAATCAAACCTAGTCAAGCATTGTACCACTAAGCTATATCCCCAACCATTTGGATGGAGGGGATTGAACCTAGTGATACTCTATCACTGAGCTATTCCCCCCTTTTATTTTTTATTTTGAAACAGGGTTTTGCTAAGTTACCCAGGCTGGCCTCAGACTCGAAGCCTCCTGACCCATCCTCCCAAATCACTGGGATTACAGGTATGTATCACCATGCCTAATTTATAATTTAATTTTTACCAGTGGCTATGTTTAACATAGCTATGTTTACAAAATTCTGAACATTTTTTTAAAAATATTTTTTTTAGTTGTAATTGGACACAGTGTCTTTATTTTATTTATTTTTATGTGGTGTGAGGATCAAACCCAGTGCCTCTCATGTGCTAGATGAGTGCTCTACCACTGAGCCACCACCCCAGCCCAAAATTCTGACATTTTAACAATTGACTTTCAAGAGCTGATAGGGGCCTGTTTACAACCACTATACCTTAGTTTTCTCATCCTTGGCAAGGATGTTATGAGGACAAGACAAGATCAAGCTTATTGTGTAAGGTGAGACTTGAACTCATTGCAATTGTCCCTGWGGGAGACATTGAAATTTATAAGGGACAAAGAGGAAGGATCAGCCAGCAGAATTTAGCCGACTTTATTACCTGAAGGGGCATTAAGGGGAAGAGGATGGAGGATTGGTGATAAGTCCTGCAGCTAGAGAGACCTTTTCAAAATGGAAATGTATTCTTAATCTGTTATAATTGTTTTCCTGTTGTTCTTAGGCTAAAGACAAAACTCCTTAAGGAGGCCTGAAGGCCCTGTGTGATCCCACACCTGCCTCTCTCTGGCCATATCTCCACCAAGCTGCACCTCTTGTCTGTCCCCTGCAGTCCCACTTGCACTGTGGCAATTTCCCACATGTATGGGCATTGTGTAAGCTAAGCCCCTTTCTTGGAAGAATTTTCCCTCTCTTTGTGTTTAGCAAACTTCTGTCCATCTTTGGGTTTTTTTGTTTGTTTGTTTGTTTTTTAAGAGAGAGTGTGAGGGGAGAGAGAGAGAGAGAGAGAGAATTTTTTTAATATTTATTTTTTTTAGTTTTTGGCGGACACAACATCTTTGTTTGTATGTGGTGCTGAGGATCGAACCTGGGCCGCACGCATGCCAGGCGAGCGTGCTACCGCTTGAGCCACATCTCCAGCCCTTCTGTCCATCTTTGGATTAAACACTCCTCACTGCACCAGAGAAATCCCCCTGCCTGGGCCCTTCCTCTTCTCTGAGCCTGAAGACCAGGCATTTGTTTTACTGCATTGTGCATGTGTGATTTGATCTTTTCTTCCTGCCAGGCCCAGTGGCACAGGCCTGTAATCCCAGCAACTTGGGAGGCTGAAGCAGGAAGACTGCAATTTCAAAGCCAGCCTGGGCAACTCAGTGAGACTCTGTCTCAAAAATCAAGAAGGCCGGGGCTGGGGATGTGGCTCAAGTGGTAGCGTGCTCGCCTGGCATGCGTGCAGCCCGGGTTCGATCCTCAGCACCACATACCAACAAAGATGTTGTATCCGCCGAGAACAAAATAAATATTAAAAAAAAAAATTCTCTCTCTCTCTCACTCTCTTTAAAAAAAAAAAAAAATCAAGAAGGCCAGAGATGTAACTCAGTGCTAGAGCACTCCTGGGTTCAATCCCCAGAACTGGGGGAGGGGGTTAATCTTTACCACCAAACTGTAAATTCTATGAGGACAGAGACACATTTGCTTTCTGCCTTGTGTGGACTCTACAGTGCTAAGGACTGTTCCCGGCAGAGTAGGCTCTTGATATACAGAAATGGTTCTGCAACATTAAGCCTTGAAAAAAGCCTCCTAATACAAATTCATTTTTAATTCAACACCACAAAATCAATACTCTTCCTTGCACATGAAGAAATAAACTGAATCTCAAGTTATTTAGCTAAGGTCACTCTGTACAAAAAGATGTAATAGAGTTCAAAATCAGCTGTCTGACCCCAAAAAGTTTATTCTTTACCCTCTCTTTCCCCAGATCCTTCTCAGATGCCACCCAGTTTTCTAGGGAAATTTCTAGAATWCCTGAATACCTAGAATACCCAGAATACTGAGGCCTAAGAAGATCCCTACTATTCTAGACTCTCCCACATTCTGACCCCAGGGATTAGTTAATAGAGGAAAAAAAATCTGTGGCTCTACAGCACCCTCTGCTGTCCAGTCACTTTCTTGGTCCCAGAAGAGGCTGCCTATAGTCAACCATCCCTTGTAATCCCACATGGCGTGGAGAACACAGAGGTCCAAGAGAACACACATGCTCTTTGTAAGGCAGGACAAAGGAATGCTGTCTTTCCCTACTTCCTCAATTGTCCAGGCCTATGTCATAGGTCCTGTAAAATACATTGAGATTAAGCTGTAAGCAAATGATGTGTATCTTTGTATGACTTAGATTTCTGTTTGTTGAGCTGTTTTTACTTTGACATATAACTTTTTCACTGAGGGCTATAAAAGTAGTCCCTGTACTGGTCATGGTAACTCATACCTGTAATTCCAGCAATTTGGGAGACTGAAGTAGGAGGATCACAAGTTCGAGGCTAATCTCACTAATTTAGTGAGGCCTTGAGCACCTTAGTGAGCCTCTGTCTCAAAACACAAAATTAAAAGGGCATGGGAGGCTAGGTGTGGTGGCACACACCTGTAATCCCAGCTGCTCAGAAGGCTGAGACAGGAGGATTGAGAGTTCAAAGCCAACCTCAGCAACAGCAAGGTGCTAAGCAACTCAGTGAGACCCTGTCTCTAAATAAAATATAAAAATAGGACTGGGGCTATGGCTCAGTGGTTGAGTGCCCTTGAGTTCAATCCCCAGTACCCCCCCAAAAAAATAAAATAAGAAAATAAAAGGGCATGGGGTTATAGCTCAGTAGCAAAGCACCCCTGAGTTCATTCCTCAGTACCCAAACAAACAAAAAGTGATCTCTGCAGTGGTAGAGTCTTAGTTATAAGGCTTATGAAGACAGATTTAGAGGATCTAAAAACTGTGTGTGTGTGTGTGTGTGTGTGTGTGTGTGTGTGTGTTGCTACCGGCCTCTCAAATGCTAAGCAAGCAGTTTATCACTAATCCACATCCCCAGCTCTCAGAGGGTCTAAAGAAGTTCTGAGGCTCATTTAGTCATTCCAACAATGGGCAAGGCTTTGAGCTGCAATCAATGAGACACAAACCCTGCCCTTCTGGACT